TTGTAGTGTGGGGTACAAAGGTGGAACATTGACATTGAGAGTTACAACAACACACCTATGTGTATGGATCATTCAACTATATAACTCATACTAGTAGGTCGAATCTTTAGTGACAGGAAGAAACCTAAGATATTAATTAATGATTTGAATTCAATTTGATTTGTTTAATATATATATGGGAAATGTTACAATCTCGTTACGGAACCATTCCGTCGGAATTTGTAACCGTTAGATCATCATGTAACCGTCATGGATAATTGATCTAATGGTTACCAATCCCGACGGAATGGTTCCGTAACCGGACTGTAGAATCTCCCTATATATATAAACCATTTGTTATTACTTATATTTATTATTACGTTTAATAGAAAACCAAAGTTATAATGTATAATATATATTTGGATCTTAGTGATTTCATATGTATTTATCAAGAAATATTATAATTTTATTTACACTTTAATAACTATTTAATTTTTAATCACTGTTTAATAGTCTGTATAAAGAGAATATGATTCATAAATCAATGTCTATATCTATAGCTATATAATATTAAAATTACTAAATCAAGATATGTTGTTATCATATATAAACTTGGATGACTAATATGCTTTTTGCATATAACGCATCAAATTAACTGTCCTTTATAATTTTCAATTTAACACTTATTGTATACATAAAATTAAATAATATATTTTTATATTTATATAAATAGTTTTTCAGAACTTATTTTGCTTGTTATACATCATAAAATTTAAAAAGTACAGCACTTTTCATCAAATTTAGAAGAAGAAATTTTTCAGTAAGTGCCCTAAAAAAAATTTAAAAGTTAAACATTTTCGAAAAAGTCAAAATTACTTGTGAAAATTTAGTGTTTTTCCCAAATATAAGCAAATGGTGCTTACAAGTAGAAATAATCTATACTTATATTAAAAGGTATATCATTTATCAGATTTAGTATAAAGAAAAGTCAACAACATTTATTCCGTTACTATTTCCGTATTATACAATCTATACTTGAGATTCTATTTACTACATTTACTATCCAAAAAAGTCAACTGCATTAACATTACTATTTTGGTATTATAATATTTTATTAATTTAATTAATTTATTTATTTGTTTTATTTTAAAAAGGTAAGTATAATAAAAAGATTTTAATAATAAAAAAATCAAATACTAAATAAAAATGTACACTTTGACTTATTTGATTATATTTGGTATTTGATTATACCAAATATATTCCTATTTAGTATATACATTAAATACTTACTGAAGTATTTATTTGTTTTATTTGTCAAAGTTAAGTATAGATTTGTTTATATTATCAAATCATAAAAAAATATTAAATCCATATTGTAAAAAAAAAATCATATAATTTTATAACAACTACACTATTTAACAATATTTCTTTTTTATTATATAATAAAATAATAATTAAATATTATATGGTGAATAATTATAAGTAAAACTGTTACTTTCTCTTATATCAAGGGATAAATTTATATGCTAAAATTAAATTTTTATTAGTATAAATGTTTTAGTGAGATAATATATTAATTATTTTACAAGCTAGCCCTAACATGCTCATATTTAATGTTTTAAAAGATGTAGAAAAAAAACTTATAATAACTCTACTGTTTTTTAGACTTAAAACGTTGATTAAAAGAGGTAAAGTTCCTAATTTTTTTTAGACTTAAACGTTGATTAACACCATATACTGAGAGTTTATATTTAGTAAAATTCCTAATTGTAATAAAAAAATTAATTTTTGCTATATTTTAGAATATCTTTAAATTCATTATAAAAAAAAAAGAAAAAAAAACTACAATGAAAAAAGCAAGTCAGCTATATATCGATTTGTTGTACTCCTCAAATCACATTCACAATTTGGCTACAAGGAAGGAAACTCATTGATTAAATATTATTTTGTCAATAGTCTTAATGTATAAGAGACTTTAAGACTCCACTTGAATATTATAAAACTTTTATTGAACATTGTACAATTTTCTTGTGTATTATAAACTTTTATTGAATATTACATCTTATAATATAATATTCTCCAAATAAATATATCTCGTGGTTCGCACGGGTCACGTACTATATATATCCCGTACATTTTTCTTTGTTCATGTATATAATTATAAACCTGGATAAATAGCCTTAAAATTGTGCCCCCGTGCATCGCACGGGCTCTGTACTAGTGTATTCTAGAATGTTATCAAGTTGAAGTAAATAAGGTCTTCTAGAATGTTAATAAGTTGGAAGACATAAGGTCTTCTATTCATTTTTGGAAAAACTCATATGTAGCACCTCCGTAGAGTCTCTATTATAGCCTATAAATACACCATGCCTCCTAGCCAAAATCAAATTTCACACTCTTATTATATGTGAAGAACAAGAGTTCTTCTATTATAAAAAAATATTACTTTATAAAATAATTTATATTGTTATTTGATTTTTTTTAATTAAATTGATAGTAAAATCCCCCTACATATAATTACAGAATGCGTTGAGCCTAAGTGGCAGCCTTGCACGCTTTGAAATCCTACTTGGCCAAAAAACATGTTTTGTAGTTTGGTTTGGATAAAAAATAATATTTTTCTAAATCAATAATTTCATGTTCGGATATTCCAAATATATTTTTACTAGTTAATTTTATTTATAAATAGATAAAATTATTTTTTATTTTATATATGCAATATAGATGTCAAATTGAAGATCGTTAAAACATGATTATTTTGATAGATCATAAATAAAAAATTAAATACAAATAAAAAAATTATAAAGTTAAAAAAAAAAGATTACTTATTTATAGTAATTATTATATGAATTAAATGAAAAATGGTAAGAGTAGTATATGTAACTTAAGAAAAAAGGAAAACCTAGAATAGTTTATGGTAGTTATCAAGCTTAATTGTCAAAACCAAAC